GAGAAGGTTTGAGTTCTGCCTGAGCAGGCGACAGGAGGGCAGGAGAGAGATTCTCGTTCCTGAGGCCTGACACACCCAACATTATAACAAAAGACTGTAGCAGGGTCTGGGTGTTAGGAGCCAGGAACCGCCGGTGAAAGCCTGTCTGTGTCTCATAACACCACAACAGCGTATTAGCAACTGCTTCCTAATTAATGAAGTGTTTACAGTAAGTTCAGCATTTCTTATAAAAATGAATGTGACGGCCCATATGGTGACTCACGCCTGTAATCCCAGCACTTTGGGAGGCTGAGGTGGGCAGATTGCCTGAGCTCAGGAGTTCGAGACCAGCCTGGGCAACACGGTGAAGCCCTGTCTCTACTGCAAATACAAAAAGTTAGCCAGGCGTGGTGACGCGTGCCTGTAATCCAAATTACTGGGGAGGTTGAGGCACGAGAATCACTTAAACCCGGGAGACCGAGGTTGCAGTGAGCCGAGATTGCGCCACTGTACTCCATCCTGGGCGACAGAGCAAGACTCCATCTCCAAAAAAAAAAAAAAAGTTAAGAAACATCTAAAACTTCTAAATTCCAGAAAAGTATACCATTGTCATGGTTTAGTGCGTCACTCACGTACCCAGTCCTGTGCGTCTGCTGGCTCGGCCGTGTCTGGGGCAGGCTGTCCCTGAGCTTAGCATGCAGTCAGTTCTCACACGTGTGTGTGTGGTGTGCTCCCGTTTCCAGATTATGTGAGTAGATAGGCCCTAATGTGAGATGGATACGGTAGGGCCACACTGTCTTTTTCATGGCACATTTAAACAGTTTGTCTCTGCACTTAGACTCACCTGCTGCTCTGCGTCTGGCAGCTTACAGTTTAACAGTGGAGAGCAGGCCGGACGCGGCGGCTCACGCCTCTAATCCCAGCACTTTGGGAGGCCGAGGTGGGCAGATCACGAGGTCAGGAGATCGAGACCATCCTGGCCCACATGGTGAAACCCTGTCTCTACTAGAAAATACAAAAATTAGCTGGGCGTGGTGGTGTGTGCCTGTAATCCCAGCTACTCGGGAAGCTGAGGCAGGAGAATTATTGAACCTGGGAGTCGGAGGTTGCAGTGAGCCAAGATCTTGCCACTGCACTGCAGCCGGGTGACAGAGCGAGATTCCGCCTCAAAACACACACACACACACACACCCACCCATACACACCCACACACACACACACCCACCCACCCACCCACCCCAGTGAAGAGCAGTAGCAGACTTGCCCTTGTTCCTTTTTATTGTAGTACTTTGCTTTCCTGAGTGGTGGGGAAGGAAGCCTGCGTTGCAGTGTGTCCTGGATCTGGGCTTGTGGCATGGTTCTCTGCAGCGTGACTGTGGCGTTGAATAAGGAGCCTGTGGGCTCTGAGCAGGACGCCTCTTCCAGATACACCTTCTGCCACTTGGCAGGAACAGGAAGCTGGTAGTTCAGGGAAGCCGCCTTGGGGATCCCTGCTCCTTCAGTCTTGGGGGGCAGCGTTCCCCCACCCTGCTCCACGACATAGGTGCTGCATCCATTGTACACCCAGGTTTGTTCTTTCCAGAGATGGGCTGGCTGTTCTACTCTAGGAGGCCCCTGGACCCCAGGGAAGCAGCCCAGAGTGGAGAATGCAGCTTGTCACGGTCCTCACAGTGGTGCTGTGAGATCACAGCTCAGGACTCGGATTCAGACATACTGCACACAGCCGAGAGTCTACTGCCAAAAACGTTCACTGGTCATGGGAACAAATAGCAATGTTTCAAGAACGATACTTGAAGTATCCAGTGGTTGTAGAAATGTAAGAGTGTGTGGAA